ACCTCCCTCGCGGCCCTTACCTCGTCCAGGGGGGGGCGCTGGGTCCTTCAGCCACCCACCGCCATGGCGGCCGGGGGCAGCGGCCGGGGGCAGCAGGCTGAGCGGAGCGGGGCGGGCGGAGGAAGTCAGCAGCCGCCCCTCCTGGAGCGGAGCGGAGAGCGCCCCCCCCCCCCCCCCTTCCTCCTCCCACCGGCCCGAGCTCCGGCCCGAATCCCCGCCCCTCCCTCCCTCCGCTGCCCGCGGCACCCCCTCGCTAATTAGCGCTAATTGCCTCCGCAGACTTTGCCCCGCGCTGCCCGCCCCCCTCCCGCCGCCCTCCCCTCGGCCGCGCCGCGCTCGGCGGTGCTGTGCCCCAGCCACAAAATGGAGGACGGCGGCGGCCGCCTCCCCGCCCCCTCCCTGCCGCCCGCCTCCCCGACGTGGAGAGGGAGTGGAGCCGGCGGCACTTATAGGGGCGGCTGCAGCGCCCGCTCCGCTCCGGCTCCGCACGGCTCCGCTCGGCTCCGCTCCGCGGGGCAGCGCCCGCCGGGCTCAAGCGAGGGGGAACGGTGCGACCTGTTGGCTGCGGCGGGCAACTGCAGCCTGCGCCCGGGCTCCGAGGGGCCCGCCGCCTCCGCCCGGGCTCGGCCCGCTACCGCGAGGCCGCCCCGCCCCGCTCCCGTCCCGTCTCGTCCCGCTCCCCAGGCGGGGGCAGCGCCGCGCGGGGGGGCCGGGCTGAGCGCCGCGCTCCTGGCGCTGCCCCTCCGCGGACGTCCGTCCCAGCGGGAGGCGGGTGACGTCCCCGCAGCAGAACGCGGGGCGTGCGGGGGGGGGGGGGGCTAGAAGTCAGCGGGAAGGCGCTCGCGGGTTTGCGTGTCGTTCCTCGGGGGCCGCTGGAGGTGTGGGGGTGAAGGGCTCGAGCTGAATGCGCGGAAACTGAAAAGCCCACGGATAGTTGAGGGAAAGAGGTGCCGGGGGGTGGGGGGGGAGCATTCCGGCTGCAGCACTGACAGAACGCACGTTGTCACCGAGAGGTGCGCCTCTGCCCCGCGGAGCACCGTGCCGCTTCGCTTGCGAGGTTCTGAATAAAAGGAACAACAGTGGGAGTTCAGCGCGGCTGGGGCGAATTGAGGTGCAGAGGCTCCGCTGGAGATGGGGCGCTGCGGTGCGCTCTGCGCGCTGCGGGGACGTCACCCGTAACGGCGGCCGAGAGCGGGGCAAGGACAGAGCAGGAGCCATCACAGAGGATGTAGACCAGGAGTGAAAAATAGAATGAAATGGAACAGCAAAGCAGAAAGCTCTGCTTTGCAGAAATGCAGGGAGCAGGGCGCCTTTCCAGGGCACAAAGAGGGACCCTCGTGCCACCGGCGTTCCACAGAGCTGACAAATTTCAGAAGCAGTGATTGTCAGATGCCAAAGGGGTCAGTTCTGATTTGGGGCAATTAATGACATTGGAGATGATGAGCAGGTACTGCCTGTGCTCATGCTGTTGATGAGCAGCCAGTGTCTGCTGTGGTACCCGATAGATCACTTCACACAGTACTGAACACATCACTGAAATGGGTTTTCTTTCTATCCAGCTGTTTAAATCCGGATTTGGATATTCTTTCATTGGGAAGGCCAAGAAAAGCACCATTTTGAAAGCATCATAAATCCTTATTAGTTGTTATTATAATTATTATTATTTTAACACAGTGTTGAATTTTAGAGCACTCTGCTTTATGTTTACATATGCAAAATAAATGCACACTGTGTTAGCCTTTGTATTCATCTATGCTGCACATATGGAAAATGGTTCTAAAAATCTACATATTCCTCTGCAACTCCCCTTAATCTCATGGACGTTTGAAAGGGATATTTAAAATGGCATTTCAAACTGTCGTCTCGTGCCACAAATTATAGCTAGCAGGAAGCACTGCTTCCCATATGAGAACAGCAGAGTGAGCAGTCAGGCTACAGTCACAGAGATCTTTGCTATCAGGTACAGGAATGCTGCAGGGGACTTTGCCATGAAGCAAAAGCCAGAACGTCTCCCAGAGAAGGAAATCCTGACACACATCTGGGGCTATACCTAGAAAATGTACTCCACTTTACTGCTCTGTGAATACTCTACCATAGACACTCTTCCATTTGGTGTCAACCTGCTCAGCTCAGCCCTGGGATGTGAAGGAACATCTTTACAGTGAGGTGACGGAGCACTGGAACAGGCTGCCCAGGGAGGTGGTGGAGTCTCCTGCTCTGGAGATGTTCAAGACCTGCCTGGATGCCGACCTGTGCGACCTGCTGTAGGGAACTGCTTTGGCAGGGGGTTGGACTCGATGAGCTCTGGAGGTCCCTTCCAACCCCTACAATTCTGTGGTTCTGTGTGTGTGCCAGGACATCAGCCTGCGCAGGAGGGCTGCAGCTTCGCACTGTGCCAGCGCCAGCCTGAACTCCATGCTGTCTCAGGAACGTGTTTACCATATCTGGTTGTTTCTAAGATCTTTAGATGAGACCTCTGTTTACAAACACGCTCCCATGCTTGGTTGAAGCTGGTTTTGCAAAGTAACGAGTAGGACATTTCTTCTCTAATTAACAGCTTGATATCATCTTTTATCCAAGAGGACACGATTTTGTGTTGCTGTGCTGCGTTTATCTCCAGCATCACGCGGTGACGTAGAGCAGTGCCAAACAGTGAGCAAAGAGCATCCCATGGCTTGGAGTGAGGGGCACCGCGGGGTCGTGTTTGCAGAGACGAGATGTGATCAGGGTGGAATGATTTACAAAGGACGTTTTTGGCTCGTTGCTAAGCACAGCAGCATTCTTGCTAAGCACAGCAGCATTCGTTACAAGGCCATCGTTGGTAAGCTCGTGGTAAACCGTACAGCTGCACTCATGTTTGAATGCAGAGTTGGGTTTGCTCATTGTCTGCAAGTTGCTGCTACACACAAGAGGTCTGACTTGTAGATTTGTTCCCTTTTAAGCATCATTCATTGAACGGAGCCAGTGAATACCCTCATATGTTTTCTGCCTCTAGCCCACCAAGTCAGGAAGGGAGCATTACCGACTCACTTCTGCTGGCCACGAGTGCTGCTGGAGGAGAACCAGAGCACAGCCTGCAGTGATGGAGCAGCTCAGCCTTAGCCTGCCTGCTGCCTGTGTGTGCAGCCGGGCCGACCTCCTCCTGCCTTCCTCCAAGCACAGCAGTTCCCTGCGGTACTCCCAGACTGTAAAAACAAATGTAATGTAGAAACATTTTCCAGTAGAAACATGAGAGCCTGTAAATGACAACTGGAGAACTCTTCCGTGATGATGGAGATAGATGAAATCCATCCTCGTTAGTTTCACCAGTCCTCTTCTTCTCAATACACAAATTCTGCCATATAGCAATCATTATACAAATGCTGTTGCTAATTTGCTAATGAATATATATTTAACTGATGAGTTCAAATACAGGAAACTTTTTTTTGGTCTGCATCTCGATGCATCTAAGTTTTAAGTAATAATTCTATGTAAAGAAGAAAGACACTTGGAGAACAGAGGGAAGAAATTTGGATTTGGGGAAGAACGTTGTATTGACAAAAAAAAATGTTGGCTGTCAATCCGTGCATCGTGTCAAAAGTGTTTGAGCAAGCAGGGCTGTGGGCAGGGGGCACCCAGCTGGGTGCAGAGCTGTGGGGCTGCGGGGGGAGAGCGGTGGTAGAGCTGTCAGAGGAGACTGAAAAAGGAAATGAATGGCTGTGCTTCCCTATGCCACCACATAACAATCTTGCAAAGACAAGGACTCTCAACCTCAGCAAACATTAAACATAGACATTAAAAGATGTATCTAGCTGTGGAACATTATTAAATCATAAGATGTGGTTACGGCTCTCGTGGAGGAGATGGAGCAATGCATTGGAACTGAGAACTGAGAACTTCAGACCTGCGTGCAGCATTCTGAGCCAAGGGCCAGAGAGCAACTCCTGAAGCACTGCAGGGCGCTGTGTTGGCTGCTGGCTGCAGGCATTGCTCGTCTGTGGAGGGCTGGGGTGGGCAGGGAGCCCCAAGGCAAGCAGACAGCGCCACGTGTGACCAAAGTGAGCTCGTGTAATGTGAACCACACAAAGCACGAAGGGGAAAATGTGGGCTGGGGTCACGGGGTAAAGACTGACCTGCTCTAAACTCAAGGAAACAATGTAAAAGCACACGAGCAAGTTTAAAGCACGGGGAAATGTCTTTGGTTACAAACTGCTGACAAGCCCAATAAGAACAGAGCTAACACGTGGGTCCCGGCTGGCAAATGTATATAGGCCACTGAGGATCTGCACTACATCATTCTTTAGTGCCAGAAGCAGGCTAGAAAATAAATGATTGAAGTGTTTCCAGATGAAGCGATGTGCTCATGAAATACAACAGCAGGAACTTTCTCAGCAACCTTCAAGAAAACAGTGTCTGAAATGGCACTAGCAATTAATGGAGATCAAGTTCAATTGATTGGATCTGCTTTGCATTGGCAGCAAAGAGGAGTCTGCAGGCTAAGTGACTGATTTGCCAGTATTTCAGTTAAAGTACAGAAATGGACACAAATGATGTCTTTGATCTCCGAAGCAATCAATAAAAAGATAAGCTTAGAGGTTTCTTTATGCTGAGGAGCTGTGCTCAGTGTCTCAGGCACTGGGGAATGGAAAGAACTTGGTGATACCAAGGGCATGGTAGCACCAGTGACCAGAAGGCACATTAACATAGTGAAATCTTACTGAGTAAAGATCTGCAGAGGTGATAGGCATTGGAAGATGATTATTTAAAATAAAGAACTTGTGCTCTTGTAATAAATACTGCGTGAAATCCACAAATAGCAAATAATAAACACTTCATCTTGCAAAACGACAGTTGGCTTTGCTTCTTCCTATGAACTGCTCTGTTGTTGTCTGTGGGTCACAGACAGCTCTCATAAACCTCAGCTCTGTAGGAAGACTTTTCCTCCCTCTGCAATCTGTTGTCTCCACAGAAGGACAGCGATGTGCCCAGTACCCCATGCTCTGCACAATTGCAAATCCTTTGAGATCTCACTTGTCTCATAAGCAGATTGGTTTTGTGTCCTCTCACCTTATAAGTCACTTGTTTTCATTCTTGAATGTATATTGAAGTCACTGAGCTGGTGGCTGC